ACATTTTCAAGCTCTGACAGGAAAAGTGAAACTGAAGTCTAAGCTGAATCCACTCACTTTGAAAATGCTCTAAAAATCAGTGTAGAAGGAAGGAGGAGTTTGGATGACTGGGTGGGTGGGTTGGGAACCAGTCCAGAAGTGACTGGACATTGTTGTTACAGACGTTTCATCTACCAGTAGGCTAGCATGATCAGCCTTTGTCATACCTCCTGACTTTTAAAGCTTCTTAGATGTCACACCCAGAGTAAAAGGCCTAGTAAACAGGACCCATCTATAAATAGAATGATGGACATCCACTCAAAAGCTTGCATTCTGACTTCTTGTTCGGTCTTTCAAACTCAAAATCCAGAGACAAAAGCCAGCTAAGTGACCAGTTGGTGTTGGGCATTGTCACCTGTGTCCACTTGTTCAATACTTAAAACAAACAGTGGATTGAGTTCACACCTTGTGAATACCAGCCAATATCTTGTGGTAGAGCCAGTACTGAAAACTAGCCCCCCCCCCCTCTGGTTAAGCAGCAGCCTGTTTATTTTACTGGCTTCTGAGCAGAATTGGCTTGAAAGGATAGACCAGGGGGATTACGAGTGTTTGAGCTTGTTATTCCAATCTTTGCAAGCATGGTCGTCTCAATCTATAGAAAGATAATTCTTAGTGCTGGCTTTGGAAGTGGTGGTCTTGGAACATTTACTGGTATATGTATGATGTACATGTAGTTTGCTAATGTTCTGAGACCATTTTTGCGTATGAAACTTCCGCCCTTGAAGCAGACTTTTGGAACATGGACATACATGTAGTTTCTATCGTCGAGATTTCTTTATTCTGTAAGTACATGCTTTGAAATTGTTGAATGTCGAGAAAATTTGGGGCTTCCATTTTAGGCCGATCCCTACTGGTTCTGTTTATTTTCAAGGATGCAGTTTGTATATTCAACTGTACATGTACATATACATTGTACAGTTACTGAGTACAGTATGTACGTATGTAAGTAATAACATGAAGCACTTGTGTTCCTGGACATGTACATATACAATATTTGTATAAGTACTGTACATGTACGTGTACATGTACATTGTGTACATGTACATGTGTAAGTCTGTGCATATATATGTATGTATGTAGGGTACACATGCACACATTTTAAAAGTTAGGTTATGCAGTGCCCCGGTCTTAAGCCTACCTTAAAAAACCCAATGTCTGTCACATATTTTACATCATGTGTATAAGTATAGTGTGACCTGTACACACAAGAATGATAGATAGGACTGACAACCAAACCCTAACCCCGTAGGGTGTACATGTAAAATCATGTTGAAATCAGAGAAGTTGGAACTGTGTTATTAATGTACATGTATTAACGCACAAGTTATGTACAAATTTCCAAGCCTTGTATTGATGCAAGCAGTAATTGGCTACATGTACTACATGTACATGTATATATGGATATGTTGGCCAAAATAAGATTTTAGTAAATTCTGTGTATTATCAGAAAACATCAAAACCCAAAGAATTTTGTATTAGAGTACTGAAATATTGGATAATATACATTGAAACCTTTTTGCTGTATACCATCTTATTTATTCGTTTTCATCCCTTGTGTCAAGTGAAAGCAGTGAGACAGCATGGCATACAGACTGCACTATTAAGAGGAGCATAAAAAGTAGAAGATGTTGGGAGTTCATACTGTATAGGCCTACCAACTATTCAGTGATTCAAACTATACTTACTCGTACAGTAGTTGCACCTCAGAGGTTGCAGGTTCCCCACCCTTCATGAAGATAAGCAATTATCCTAACCTAGCTTGCGAACAGCATGGAGGAATAAAAATGCAGTGAGGAATCTCTTCAGTCCCAAGCTTGTTGCATTTTTCAATGTTATGGGAAAACTCATGGCCTCACATCACCAAATTTGTCACAGTGTGGTTTATATGTACCTACTTTTCTCAGTTTAGTACAGGTCTGATTCGAAAGTCCACTAAAAGGCCCCCTTTTTATCAGATCTGTTATGCCACTTGTTTTAAAATTTACACGATCATCACGAAGACTAATAATGTAAAAATTCTTGTGGGTATTCTCCATCAAGATGCTGAGCCAAAACTAAAAAATATTAAGATCCGTGAACGTCTCTCCAGGGTAAACCTTCGGTTGTGTACTGTACCCTGTGCGGGTGAAACTGGAAACTTGCCCCAAAAATGAAACAGTGAAATTGTAAAGCTTGGAAAATTGCATTTGAATAACTGAATGTAAATGTCTAGTGGGAACTCTGTAGTTTGTTAATTGGTTTGAGGAATCTTGCTTGAACAGAAAGCCCAGATTCAATATTAAGTATTACTACGGAGATTGTCTTTAATATTAAAAGTGTACATTATCCAAATGCCCTGGACCTGACTACTTTTATGCAAAAAAAAAGAAAAAGAAGAGCTACATGTACCCACTAAGCGATGTGTTTGATATGTGCCATAGACGTGCGTGGGCGTGAAACAAATGGAACAGCCCCTGAAGCATTATGGGATGTTTTTAATTGAAGCTGCACCTTTGCTAGGGAAGAGAACTGGGTCAACAAATTTCCCCACTGTGGTCTGGCTGTTTCATGTTCAACTGGACAGTGTTTGCATATTTTTTCAGCGCAAACAGGGGCCTCCCAATATGGGTTAGGCTGTGTAATTTGTAATCACCCAACATCTGAGAGGGTTTGTCAAGTTGTATAAACATTGTCCCAACCAAATTAGTAACCTCGTTAATTATCAGTTCCTTATGAAAAGCTGTCAGCATGGTTTGTAAAAATAGTTGTAAAGAATGACTCTCAAGTTTACCCAGCTCATCATGAGCTTGTTTATTTTATCGGATTATTTTTTAAGCCAATTATCTCCTCAACCTAATTAGACTTAACACAGCTTTGCAGCAAACTGACAGAGCATAAATTCTTGTGGATTGAGCTCACAGATAGGTTTGATGTGTAGGCCCTACATGATGTACTTACATTGTACATTAACATGCATGCTTGTGTACATTCTGCAGTTTATTGAAGGGATTGTATCACAGTAAGGTTACCTTGTGCTGGGTATTTGAGTCAGGTCAGATTGCAGTTTGAACATGTACAGTGCATGCATGAACCACAAGCTTGAAGCATAACAGAAATACCTCCCTATCACCAAGTGAATGCCAAACCTAGCAGGGGAACCACAGAGCAAGAAACAACTTGTACCTTAATGTACTGGTACAATGCAGTCAGATAGTTTTTACAGCGCTGTACATGCATGTACGGTACATGTTATGGCATAAGCACATTTTTAATCTTTGGTTTGATTGCACATGTACGAGTACTGTGGTTGAATGTCAGTTAACTGGCTACTGAAAGCACAATAGTTTGAAACATACGGTAGGAGTATGTTTGTAGTGCAGGCAGCTTTCTGTGTCAGTTGGAAATGATCAGAATTGGTGGAATTTTCTTGACATAACGAAATTCTGCTATTAAGGCAAACTGGAAGTGTGCTCCAGAGAGAGGCAAACCATTGTAGAAATATTGAATGCCGTCTCAAATGTAATTGTAGGACTTACAGATATTCAAACTCGGGACTAATATTTAGACTGGATGGCCTTTTCAGTTGGCACTGACCACACAGCATGTGCACATGATGAAACCCCAAACATCTCAACTCTATTTAATAAGGGATAACTTTGAGCAAGGATTGTTGTTCTTATTTTTCTAATTTGGAGATGGAAATATCAGTTGCATTTGACCTTTAAAAGTATATACATGTTGATGTACATGGCACGTATGTGTGAAAAGCTTTACAAAAAATGGAGACAAAGCTTGAAATGTCAGCGTGTGCATCCATAGGTCAGTCAAGTGATCTCATACTACTGTAGTACTGGTACATGAGCCGATTGAGTTGTAACAATTCTACTTGATAAACAATATGCTCTTTGTAATTTGTGAATTCCTGAAGTTTGCTCAGAGTTACATGTACATCTACATGTAGTTCATTAGCACTCAAGTTGATCTTTGGAAATGTGGTTTGAAAGAACTAATTTTGTTGGGGGGGAAGTATTGTGTTATAAACGTAATTGATCACAAGTGCCTTTTTACAGGAAAACTGTCAAAATACCCTGTATTTTGAAAACTTAAAATCCAGTGTGAATGGGACCAGTCACGTGCAGGTGATTATGTGCGAGTTCTCTATTGTACAGGCATAATTTGTACAGTACTCATATGTGCTACAACATGTACTGTAGGCCTACATGTATTTCAAGTCTAACTGCAGATACAGTCAATTTTATTAGTCTGGAACTGTCACTTGTCAAGAACATTTACTGGGAATATTATTTATAGTACATAAGTATTTCATGTCACTGGGACTGGAAAAGCATCACACAGGCTTTGCACATGCATGCGGGTACACTGGCAGAACTACCGGTACATGTACGTGTATGTACATGTAATACTCTACACGTACATGTACATGTATGTTACTTTTTTACACAGAAAAGCATAGCTTGACATGAAGGGCATTAGATTCATTGAACATCATGGTGAGAATTCAGCTTTTTAGTTGATTTAAGCTTTTTCTGTTTAGATGTTGACCCTGAATTTCAGCTTTTGTGTACAACTGGTCTGCACAAGAGCATTGGAACTTTTAACATTTCAGCTTTTTGCTTACTGTCTTCAGCTTTGAATTCAATTGCCACTCACACTCCTGTACACTTTTCATCCACAGCTGTCAAACCTGTAGTTCATTCAGTGATTGAGTATATTTATTTTTCGTGAATTTGATGTACACATGTAATACATGTAATTGTTAACCTTAGTAATGTGTGGCATTGGTTTTGTTACCCCCAAGGATCCATGGCACCCTGCTAAACAAACATGTACACCTCAGGTTCAATACTTTCCATAGATGTTAAAAAAATATACCAAGCGCAGCATCAGTCAACAACAATCTTCATATGCATGTAAATGTGATTGAAAATGGAAGCTCCGTGTCTTTGTTTCATTTCTTTCAGAGAGAACAGAATCCCTGCGAGTGCTCGCCCACGACAAATTGCGGGATGTGCTCAACATTCTGCGCAACCTGCTGGATAAGTACAGTGCCCTCCGGTCCACGGACATCCACACGGCAGCTGTGTTGCTCATCACTCAGATCAAAAGTAAGTCGCTGGGGTGCTGCGGGTGTACTGAGTAATCATCACTGGCCTGGACCCAGTTTTTCAGAGTTGCTTAGCAGAAATGTATACTCAGCAAATTTGTGTACTCAGAAAGAATCAGGCAAGAGTCACTATCGAAAAGTGTACAATGTGATACGTGTACATTTTTGCAGTGCTGTAACCAAAAGTCATTTTTCTACAAGTCAACTCAAGACACTTGTCATTTTTCATGAGTGAAGTCATAGTCACAAATGTCTTTTTTTTTTTCGTGAGTGGAGTCAACTCACAAGACAATTTTCCTTAGTAAGGTCAACCCACAAGTCATTTTTCCACAAGTCAAGCACCAAGCTATTTTTTTGCCAAGTCAGTCACGGGTCAATTTTTCCCAAGTCAAGTCTGGAGACCCTAGTCATTTTAAAGTGATCTGCATGTAGTTTATTGTACACATTTTCTGACATCCTTTATTGATGATGTGAGCTTTGATGGTTTGACCTCTCTGCTGAATTTTTACCCCCTTATACAGTGTATTTGACTCACATGCTGTGCTCATATACCGGTATCTAGTGACACAACATCAGTAGAATGAAAACAGACAATTCTGGTTTTTCACATGGAAAGTCATAGAAACATGTACATGCATATGAACATTTTTCCTTTACAGTAATTGTTTCATCAAAAGTTGGTAATATGAACAAGTTAAATTTGTTCATGTTACATTGTACATCATGAGTTATTTTTTCCATGTTACATCAAGTCTCAATACAAAGAAAATTGTGAATGTGACTTGAATCCAAGTCGGCAATTCCACCAAACAAGTGTGTATAAATGTTGCCTTGTAACCCACTCACTAAGCAAGTACCCATAGTTTCTTTCCTTGGCAACATTCTGTGTCATGAATGCCATGAAATTGGGCCCTGTTATTTGTGAACATTTGACTGGGGTCATCACATGACATCAACAGGGTGACAGAATCACATTCATGTATCATTTGACCAACCTGTTTTGAAAGGGGCACTTGTAGGAACAAAGGGACAATTTTGTGTACAAAGCGTCAAAATTCTCAGAGGTTTTTGTCAGATTCATGTCAGTATAGACCAGTCACTGTTGCGTATTATATGCATACATGCAGGTACATGTATGCCACATGGTGCTCGACATTCCAGTTTTGTTTCAACCAGTGTTTAGGGAAATTCAGGAAGGTTTCTTGGGAAAAATGACCGAGAGATAAGGATTACAGAATACTGAGTGCCAGTATATCGTACTAATATGAGATGTGTCAAAATTTTGGACAGAATTTTCCATTGCCACGTACATGTATACCGATGTTCAACAGTTTTGGTACGAGTGCAACTTAAAAACTGAATATGAAAGGATTAATTTTATCATGGATTTTTTTCCAAGTAGAGTCTTGTATGCCTACCGGTATTTGTTCATGAATAAGGCCTGAACTTGCCAGCATCTGTGGTACTGGTATGACCAGTGCCTACATGTACATGTAGCGTACACACAGCTACAAGCATTGATTACAAGTGTCACATTATGTGTCATGAACATCCGTAATCAGCAAATTGTGCCGAGTGTGCAAAATGGCCCATCCCAAAGGGGAAATGCTGCAGTTTTTCTTGAGAGATGCAAAGTGCATGTATATGTATCTGTCAGGTTTTTGCAGAGCGACATGTACATGTATGTGGGAAGAGTTGATGTACCCAATAGTTCTCAGCAGAAGTGCCTAGGGAGATCATGGTGAAGCATCTCATTGTGTGTTTGTTCAATATTTATCGATTCTCTTGTTTCTCAGATTTGAAGGATGAGACTGAGGAGGAGCGAGTCAAGCTATTTGATGCTATAGATCAGCTGGCGCTTGCTTTCAGCAGCAGGTACAGTTGATACCTTTCATTTTTAAAAGGTTATGTATTTACTCTTTAAATATCATTCTGTTGGATTGAGAAAAATTAAATGGATGTGTAGTTATTTGGATTCATTTTACCAGTATTAGTTGATGATGTTTTTCAATTTCATTTGCATGATTTCATTTTTTTTTAATTATAATAATTGATTTGGCGGTCATAAGTCTGGAGTTATAAACATGACTGATTGATTGTCGGATGGCTCAATCAGCAATAGATAAATTGATTAATCTGTTGATTGATGTATTGACTGAGTTTTTATTCTCATATTGAACCATTTACTGATTGATGATGATTTGCCCAAAAGGTGACCTGGTTGAATTTAAATCCTGTTATAACCAATTGGTCAGTGTTAAGATTATGATAGCAGCATTTTGACGATGAGCTTGCTGTTTTGTCTCTAAGTGCCCTGTTGATTTCTGACTGGTGGTCTTTTTCCCTGTCTCATCTAGTGTGACAGAATTTCTAATGGGCGATGTGGAGCAGGCTAACATGGGGTTTCCCTCCTCAAAGGTAAGGGCTGACTTCACCCTGCATCGTTCATGAGTTTTTGTTTCTCATTATTTTTTGCGATTGCAGGCAACTGTCAAAAACGTTTTCCATGTTTTTCCTCCCAAACGGGATGCATTTTATAGAGATATCCAGTATTTGTGGAGACTTCCAAACCCAGTGGTCCAAAATGTTGTTGTGGGTGTTCTTTTTTTTTGTCTGCCTTATGGATACTTTAGGGAAGACTTGAAACATGTAAAGAGCAGTTCAAAGCATGTTGAATAGTTCCTGGTTTTGCCCATGGCAGTTAACAACATTTACTTCCTCATTTTGGGTAAATGATTGAAATGGTAAATGGTTTTTGAGCCTAAACATGTTGGATACACTGTCACACATTATAGTTGGTATGTAGCTTCTTTCTATTGTTTGATGTACACGTATGTAAGTGATATTTTGGGATGTTGTGTCCAACATTTCCTTTCCAAGTTAGCTTGAGGTTCAGGCTCATATTTTGCACTTCAACAGAGTGTCTGTCAGCAAAATGAATCCTGGCTGCTTGCCATCTTTAAAAAATAGTTTGCAGTGATCACATCTCAGTTACACCTGGAAGCCATTTTTAATTTTCCAGTCATATGAAAGCATATCGTCGATGACGACGAGTTCAGAGGGTGGCAATGCCTACAGTCGGCAGACATCACAAGATGGCAGGGAACCAGGTGAGGTGTTTACCTGTATTCAGGCGAACAATTTGCATATTCTTAATGGGCTTCTTAATTTAGTAATTTCTGAAGTTTGACCTGAAAGTTTGTCACATCAATTCAGTTTGACTTTTCTAAACTCTTTTCTTCTCCCAGGGAGTTTGTCAGCCTCTGAAGTAGATGAAAGCTTGATGCAGTCTGATTGTGGCCTGGAAATGGCACTGGAGCGGGCCAAAGTCTGGTCCAAATATGCCAAAGATGTCATCAGCTACGTGGAGAAGAGGATACACTTAGGTAGGACTTGGTCAAATCAATAAAAGTCAGTTTGCATGCAGAATGAGTGCTGGTTGTGGAGTGACTTTGATGATGCAAAATCTTGTTTGGAAAATGTTGCACCTGTGTAATACTTATTCAACTTCTATGAGCTAGAAGTGGCTCCATATCACAAGCTGCTGTTTGTTGTAATTGAGTGGTTTTATTGTCTAATGTCTTTGCAGAGACTGATTTTGCACGAAGTCTTGCCAAACTAGCGGTCGCAACTCGTACCACACTCAAAGAAGAGGTATGTACCACATTTGTCATTAAAACAGTTGCCCACATGTTCACATGTGCTAGAAATTGGATGGCGGTTATTTTCTTTCAGTTCATTTTGTCTTCTTCTCTTAGATATATGTGTAAAATTTGTCCAGATTTTCCTGGATTTCTAGATTTTTTGGTAAATTTTTCAACTTGAATAACAACTTTTCAGATTTAATATTAAGCTGCACATCTGAGTAGGATATTTCATTCTCTTCTCCCATGTTAGACGTTCAAACAATCCATGGTATGTGTGTTCATGTTTGATACAGCTCCAAGCTCGGTTTAATCACAGTTTAATACCTACACACCTCACACTTATGTGCCTTTATTGCTTTCATGAAAGACACTTCAGGAAAGATCAGTATTAATCATGCATGCAGTTTGCATAGTTTTACCGATGTCATGTCCAGCTTCTTGCATTAAATCTTTTCAGAAAGTGTAAGTAATGTGCATTGTAGTTTGCAACATCCTAAGTTTTTTTGGGCTACAGTCTTCTTAAGTTGATGTGGTTTGTATAGGGAGTGTTGCCACATTTATGAATCAGACAGACATAAATCTCTCTTGTTTTGTTTTGTTTCTAGTATCTAAATTTTCAGTTACTGCTGTTTTGAGTTTCTGCAGCAGTGTAAATGGAGATAACACTGTCAGGAAATTATTTCAGTTTAAAGTTTCCATATCTTGAATTTTCAGCTTTTGTTTTTCCATATGTCTTTGCAGACGTACCTGCCCTTTCAATCAACGTACCTAACAGCATTGGAACATGTAAGTTGCACAAATTGTTGATCGATTACACACATTTTTGTCTGAATCGACTTGTCTGAATCGACTTGTCTGAATCGATATTTCAAAGTGAGCTATACTTTGTTCTCCTTAATCGTTTACTAGAAAACACGAGTCACCATTTAAACCTTTTGTGGTGTGTTTATTTGCAGGATGTAAACTATGCCCAAAACTGTGATGCCACTCATTTGCACATCCAAGGGCAAAAATTTGTCCAGGTGAGAAGAATACCTGTTTTAATTGCATTGACTGCTATTGACGGTTTGAAAACAAGTGGAAAATGTCCAATACAAAATGGACTGCCTTATGCATATGCATATTGCTTCATGCATATGTACATTTCAGTTGAATGTCCAATTTTCTGTTAGAGTTCTAATTGATCAAAGTTGCAAGTGGAATAATGCAAAGGTTGAGAGGCCATTGGGTCTCATGGAAACAAATCAGGGCACATTATCCCTTTACAGTTACATGACATCTTGATTAGGAAAGCAGCTATTGTTTAGAATAACCACCTCAAACTGTGAACCGTACCCAAGATGCCCTCTTTGTGTGAGAAGAATGCACTACATGCAGTCAAGCACTCATCCATTTAGTAACAGTCAAGGTTGACATTGTTTACAAAAGTTGCTTTAGAAAATTTTCTTGTGTTCATCATTATCATTGTGGTTTTTGTAAATTCTAAATTCCCTTCTTTTTATCAGCAACTTGAAGCAAGACGGGTAGAGCATGACAAGAGGAGAAAGCAAATACGTCAAACCTGGACCATCATGAAGAAAGAAATGGTATGGTTCTTAGATCTGTGTCATACAGCTGGGCAAATAAATCAGTTCTGGTAATTGTATTAACTCTGGCAGCTTTAACACTGGAGTGTTTGCGTGACTGATCATGAATAGTGTAAAGCCAAGAACATTACAAAATGGTCATGAAGAGGTAATGAAGCATCCTCTGACTAGAAATGAAGAGCTTGTCAGTGGTTGTTATTTGGATTAAATATTAAAGCAAAAGATTTGCAGCAAAATATTTTTCATAGTTTCGGACAATGAAAGTGGCGAGTTACATCTTCTTCCTGTGGCTCTGTACACTCATCGTATTTCATTTTGTCTTTGGTCTTGCCTCCCTGCAGCAAGACCGCAAGAGCAACCTGGAGAAGTGCCGCCAGCAGTACATGAACCGTTGCCAGGAGTATGAGAAGATCAGCGAGTCAGCAGCCAAGATGGAGACAGAGGTCCTGAACACCAGTGGTGGGTCCAACGCTGGCAAGTTAGAGAAGAAAAAGAAGGCAGAGGAGGAAGCTCTCATGAAGGTACGGCCACCCTGACGAATCTCACGCCTCCTTCGACTTTCTTACTGGTCTCTTTCATTCATTCCAGTCCTGCGTCAAGTTTGTTTTGTTTTGGGACCATCAGCAGAACCTGGTCGATTTTGTAATATCTAGGAAAACCAGGGTTATGGAGGTTCTTGGTCAGACAGGGGAGTCAGGTTGACCAGGGGAGCCAGCAGATTGACAGCAGATTGGCATGAGGATTTGAAACATTTTCAGATCTCTTACAAGAGATTTATCGTCTGGACATTAAGGGACATTTAGGCTAGCTGTAGAGTGGGAAATTTCAGCTATACCGTCTTCAAAAGAATAGCCTTGTTAAACAGTATCCCCAGAAAGTTCCTTTCCAAGATGTTCACATTTAAAAGTCTTGATGTTTGTTTCATGTTCAGGCCAAGGAGTCTGAGACGACATACAAGGCGTGCATTGTGGAGGCCAATGCTAAGCGACTAGAAATGGGGACAGCTAAGGTAATAAAAAAGTCTGGATTTGTTACTGGCTTCTTTGACAACTTTGTTTTGAGGGAATCCTAGTTAACAATGAGTTGTACCGCTTTTATTTTGCTGATTGTCTCCACATCTCCATTTGTCACCTCTTCGTGTAAACATTTTTAGAATTACTCCTCTTTTGTTTCATTTTACAGAGAGACCTTTTGGTCAAAGTCCGGGAACTCATCTACCAGTGTGACCAAACGATGAAAGCAGTAGGTTTCTTCAAATTATTATTCTATATGTAATTGTTTAGAGTAGAGTGCAGATTGCAAATGTCACTATGACACTTGCATAACGTTGTATTATTTGCAACCTTTTCAATCCTTATTCTATTTGAGATGGTAATATTAACAAAATAGATGTACAATAATTTTTTTGTTCATTCTTTCATTTATTTTTAGAAAAAAAGAAATACAGTTGATGGTAAACATGGGAAGTTTTGTTGTCAAGGAAACCAAGCCTGGCTCCTTGCCTGCTGATAAGCACACTACTGATACCTTGTGTGGGGTAGGAGTCAAGAAACCCAACAACACTTTTTTTTTTCTTCCTTGCATCTCAGGCAACAGTTAGTTACTTCCAGTTGCAGCATTCACTGTCGGCACCAGCTCCCGTCCAGTTTCAGACCTTGTGTGAGCAGAGCAGGTGCTATGAGCCTGGTGTCCAGTATGCCGAGTTTGTCAAACACAAGTCAAGGGTCAAGGGTCGTGCCGCCAAACATGAGGAAGCCTTTGTGTTTGAGCCTTTTATGTAAGTTTTCATGCATCAGATGGGGTTTGTTGGGACAGATATGATTGTTTGGTGTTCATTGTTTTTGCCATCGTCTGAAAATGTGCACATTCTTGATGCTTAAATGCAGTGACATGCTTACAGTTGATACAGGCTCTGTCCAGATTGTTTTGCTGTGGCTGGAAAAACATGCAAATGGAAAGAAATGGCCAGTGGCTACGGCCTTTTGCCCATAGATACATATACTACTAGCTACAGCCAGTTCATTCTGACATGGCCTTACGCTTAGATTTCTGTTGGTGCTGCACCAGAACCGAGAAGACCGCCGTGCATAGCGCTTGCTTACCTGCCTTTTACTGGTTCAGGACTGCGGACTGTGACATCACAAAGCACAGGCATCTTTTTACCATTACTCTCTTAGATCCTGCAAAAAAGCATTAGGAAAATTTGTTGCATTTTGTAGGTTTAAGGAGGGTAGAGAACAGAGAATGCACCATTGTGTCTAGTGTAATGGAAAATATTGGAGAGTTGAGGAATATTCTCAGGAAATATTTCTGGGGGAGTCAGGGTTAATAAGTGCATTTTGTGAATGACAGGTCATCAGAGAAACCTCGCAAGCCCAGCTCTCACTCGCTGGACAGCACCGAGGACGAGAGGGTAGGTGCTCCCAACAAGCCCAGCCATGGATCTAGAAGTGGCACCTCACCAGAAAGAACAGGTAAGAACCATCGTCCACCACTGACCATCTTTCACCTGCTTCAGGGCTTGGAGTGTACATGTGAGGGAGATTTTTAGAACACCCTCCTCCTGTCACCAAACCCACCATAGGGAACAATGCAAGAACCAGGAGGAAAAAAGCAGCAAAACTGTACTTTGAAATCACATTCATTAGTCTGGCTATGCACCTGTTATGGCTATAGTTTGACCAAAATTCTCACTTTAAATGGTGTAAATCTCTGTGAACTTGAATATAATTGAATTTGGCTTTGCTTTGTGAACCCCGTATGATCTCCTCTTATCATCTATGACTAAAGCAGTCCTGTGAAACTCCATTTCCTCTTTCTTGGTTTAGTGAGTTGTGATAGACTTGACCGAAACTGTGGTAAATGAGTGTGGGTTTTTAGTGTTCATTTGTAATAACTTGTAATTTGTACTAACTTTGATCAATTCTTCCTGCAGACAAGTCCAAGCCTGTCCACGCCTGGATGGGCACAGCACCTGCCACAACACAGGCCAGCGACTCGGACAGCATGAGCGGCAGCTCCACCAAGTCTGTGGATGCCTCGCCCTCGGCCAGCCCCATGAACGGACACCGAAACCTGATCCGGGAGGCCTCGACAGGGACCATGTCCTCGGGTGATGAACTGGCTGAGACCGACGACAGCAGGCCTGTCCCAGCTGGCACAAGTAAGTCCAACGGAAGATTTGATTCTCTGCAGGTGAAAAAATGGATTGTTTGTTGTAACATTAGGGAGAGATGTTGAATTTCTTTTGGCTTGTTAGAACATGTTTTGAAGAAGAGATTTGCGTGCAACATTTAAAGTCATACATTCTAATTGTGTTCCTAAAAATGTTTTGTTACTGTCACGGACAGACGATCAAAATATACAGACTGAAATGTTAAGTCTTTTTTTTTTCGCTGTCCGGTTCGTAAAAGCATCTTTTTGATATTCCCAAAGACTTTTCAGTGAGGTTAAAGTAAACACAAGCAATATCAAAGGAATTGTTTTCAAAGAGGAATTGTCCTCTTTGGGAAGTGTTACAGGTGGCTGTGAAGAAGTTTTGATGTAATGTGCTTTGTTTCATGTCATTTCTACATGTAATTCTTGCAGAAAATAGTAATTCAGTCTCCCATTCCTGGACAAAATGCCAGAAAATTGTAGGGTCATAATGCATTTTACAGTTAACAGACTGAACTGCACAAGTTGGTGTCATTTTTCTTTTATGGTGTCATTTTTCTTGAATGTAGGAAACAACATTGTTACTTGTACTGAAGCTTTTTTTAAAATGCATTCCCATTGGAGCATTGGTGTTACTTGAGTTCTTTCTCATTGAGTGTCTATTCTGGACTCCACTAGAACTCATTGAGCCCGTGCCCAGCTCCTTCCGCAACCTCTCCTTCACCAAAGCGGCCCAGACCCACCTGATCCGCAAGCTGCGCACCCCGTCCAAGTGCCGGGAGTGCGACAGCTACGTCTACTTCAATGGCGCTGAGTGCGAGCGCTGTGGCCTGGCCTGCCACAAGAAGTGCCTGGAGTCGCTGGCCATCCAGTGCGGTGGCAAGCGGCTGCTGGGCCGCATGAACGTCTTTGGGGTGCAGCTGCGGGACCACCTACGGCTGACAGCGCGGGAGGCGCCTTTCCTGGTCACCAAGTGCTGCTCGGAGATAGACCGTCGGGCACTGCACATCAAGGTGGATCAATTTATTTTGTCTTTTCCCTTCCAAAGGCATGTAAGAGCCACAAAATGTAATTTCAGACCTCAGAGGCCAAAAAAACATTTAAACATGAACATTTCAAAAATATATGGCCCTCTTCTCCCCTGACAATTTTGTTCTGGATCCACCCTTGTGCCCCTATCACACCCTGTTTCCATGCTGGACTATGGTGTGCACACTCTAGTGTGATCGGACAATTCACAATATTATCCTGTATGCACAACCCCAAGATTGCCTCATCACTGTCGGAGAAGTTCCAGACCTTGTGGTTGTCCGCTGCCTGAACAAGGGATTTATGTTCCATCTTTTTACCATTTTTGCCCTCTTAGAGTTGCCATGCACATGCCCTCCAAATTATGCGAAAAGAGTGAAACGTTTGCTACAAAATAAGTGGATAAAATGCCTAAAAATTCACTTTTGTGAGTTACTTTTCCTAGTTCATATTCCCAGTTTTTCTTATTATGTTCTAACACGTGAGCAATCTCAAATTCAATATTAGATAGTCATTATCAGAAACAACAATTTTGTCTATCTTTTTTGCTCTCCAATTTCAGGGTATTTACAGGGTGGCCGGGCTAAAGGTCAAAGTTGAGAAGCTTTGTCAGACATTTGAGAATGGTCTTGACCTAGTTGACCTTTCAGAGACTCCACCCCATCTCATTACCAGCGTGCTCAAGCTGTACTTAAGACAAGTTAGTACTGTGTACACAGCCCAAATTCTACATGAAATTTTACACCTTTCAGATGTATTGTAATCTGTTTACTGTGTGTGTTTTATGTTGCAACTCTTGCACCTCTGGGTGATATCATAGTGTCATGCAGTTTCATATCACACAGCATTATATCACATGGTGGCATATTATAAAGTGTTCTTTTGTGGTTTGATATTCTTGATATTGGTCACAGCTCCCTGAGCCTTTGCTGACATTTAAGCACTACTCAGAGTTCATCAATGTCGCCAAGGAGTTCCCTCGGAGTGTGCTGGAGAGCACTGAGGAGGAGGAGCGATTAATTAGCAAGTTGAAGGGCATTGTGACCAGTCTTCCCGAGGAAAACTTCAAGACGCTGGGGGTTCTCATGCACCACCTCAAAAGGTGAGGCATTAGAGGTGTGGAACTGTTTTTTTCCCTCGGGGATGAGGTGATCAAGTTTTCACAGAGGTTGTTGTCATGGGGATATCTCACAATTCCCTTGGACCACTTCTGCCGGGGATTCTGCATCCAGACACGTATGCTTAATATGCGTGGCCGGGGTCTCCGAACTCGCACAAAGGGAACAGGGGCTTGTAACAAAGACCATACTCCGAACAAAAGACCAAGCTGCTGGAAATTACCAACATTTTTTCACTCTCAAAAGTGGAGAGAAGCCAGCCTTGTTTTGAAACAGTATACCACGGTTTGGGGCATTTAGAGTGAGCAGATTACCACCGGGACAAAAGCGCTCCACCACCGCAGCGATGAGCCACACAGCACCGCTGCCTGCTAATCTGGCCCCTATTGAAAAGAGATCAGCAGCGCACAGAGCGAGGTTTGTGAACAAAAGAAAGTTATATAACACTGCACAATCTGGGCTCTTTTTACAAGGCTGCAAGCCTGGATGAAATACTCAGGCATCAATTGATTTTGTCTGTCAGGCTTGAGTAGACACCAGACAGTCCTTCACGTGTTTGCAAGTGTCCAATAAATGAAGATAGGAATATTTAAAGAATTTTGAAAACAGAAAAAAAAGATAAATAGCCCGCCCCAGCATCATCAACATTGATAACTGCCCCGACAGGAAGTGGTTAACTTTACTTCATGTAGCAGGGAGTTCCAAAAGGAATAGTTTTAAAAGCATAGGGGTCACCTCGAGGGTCTATTGAAGCAAGAATGGGGAGGGGCAAGGCTTGCAGTTTTCTTGGGGTAGGGGAAGTGGTTGAGATCTGTGGATATTGCATGACCGGGAGTTTCCATAGGTCTATTGGACTGTTTGCAGCTCTGGATTTGTTAGACTTCCAAATGCTACTGGCTTTTTATCATTTCTGTAGTTTTGTCTGTGTAGGTTGGGGCTTTTATTCAAAATATTGAATTTGAAGTCACGCCTGTTACAGTTGAGGGAAGCTAGAGCAAATTTTCTGGGGCAACCAGAATACCTTACGATTCCTTGCATTCTCTTAAGATTAATTTGCACCATTTCAGACATTTCAGTTTTCCCAGGCAAAAATGATTACACCAACAGTGAATATTCTCTTAGCATTTCCAGAAACCTGCAGAATGAATCCCTGAATCTCACTTGTCACACTGAAAATCCTTGATCTTTGAACTGCTTTCTTTGTTTTGTTTTTTTCTCTCCAGAGTATCTGAGAATGAAGACTACAATCAGATGTCTGCCAGCAACTTGGGCATTGTGTTTGGGCCCACCCTTCTTAAGCCAAAGTAAATTTCAGCAAGAACTGCTCTTTTTTCTTCTGTTAATGCGGGCCATTGGTTTTAAAGAACAAAGAATGGCAAAAAAAAGCTTGAACATATGGTAGCACTTGCCTGAATTTTTCTGCCAATTTTTAGCCGAGTCAGTTGTTGGTCGTGCATCTTTTTTAACCAAGGCTGCATATTTGTAGGTGAGTCAAATCACGAAAGTCTTTGTAATTTATACAGTCAATATTTTCTGTCTTTTTACCAGTGACAATACTGCGTCCCTCTCTGCCTTGGTGGACATGCCCTTCCAGACGAGAGCCATTGAGATGTTGGTTACCTATTCACAGGTGAGGGCACAGAAGTAATAGATTGCATTTCCTGTGTTGTCTCCTGCAATTTTTGTCTTGCTGCTGAGAGTTACTGCAGCAGTATCTCATGACTCATTTCAGTATTTAGTAGTTCAGTTAGCTGTGTAGATGTGTGTGAGGATTACATTTTAATCACTTGCTGCCAGGTGGTTTGAGAAATGCAGCATGGACATACAGGACAGTTTCAAGATTTTCAGTTTTCAAAATTCTTCAAAAATTCATCATTTCAATTAACCTATGCTAAGATACATTGTTGACACAGTTGTCATATCAGTCAAAATCAGTCAAATTCCCCATAGTTGTCTGTGTACTGGGGGAAATCAAGTGAAAGGCATTTTTTACTGTTTTTGACGGTTAAAACAGAAGGAGGGTTAATGGATGTTTACACCCACACAAATGACTGTCTGGTGGCTACTCTAATCTGACAGACAAAATCTATAGACACCCAAGTATTTCAGCCAGGCCTGCTGCCTTGTGAAAAGAGCCCAGATTGTGTGGTGTTATGTAATTTTCTTTTGTTTGCGAACCTGGCACAGTGTGCTACTGACCTCTTTTCAATAGGGGTCAGATCAGCATGCAGCGGTGCTGTGTGGCTCAACTCTGCGGTGGTGGAGCACTTATGTCCCTGGTGGTAATCCGCTCACACTAAATGCCCCAAACCGTGGTATACTGTTTCAAAACAAGGCTGGATTATCTCCACTGTTGAGAGTGAAAAAATGTTGGTAATGCCGAGCAGCCTGGTCTTTTGTTACGAGTACGGTCTTTTGTTACAAGGCCCAGTTCCCTTTGTCCGATTTCGGAGACCCTGGCCTCGCGTATGAAGAGTATGTGTCCGGTACCGGAAACCCCGGTGGCAAGTGGTTAACAACATGAATCAGTAAAAATGAGAGTGCAGACTTCATTGTGAGCTCAGCAGATGAATCAGGTTTTGCCTAGACTGTGTATCATGTAAAAAGTAATTTTTTTTTGCTTTCTCTTCAGGTGTTTGGAAGCAGCGAGACACCAGTGGAACAGTTCCAACCCGAGCCACGGGAACTTTCCCCAGTGCTCCCGGAACTCAACCAAGGTAGGGAAAATAACTGGAAATGAAAAAGAGCAATAGTAAATCAGCGTTGTTCAGCTTTCAAGCATGACAAGGCAGTTGTTTTTCTTAAGTTTCTATCAAAAGGAGTCTTCAAAAGGAGTCTTTTGAAGAAGTCTGCTCACCTCTTTACCCTGAAACAAGTTTGACCTCCCCATTGAACGTGTATGCCACATGAGTTTAAAAAAGTTGGCAGGTCCAATAGACGAATCCAGTGACCAGGGTTCGTGCTTGGTCCAGCCATTTTCAGTGGCCGTCTGCCAGTGGTTGTCAGCAATCTGATACTTTTTTATGGAGCCACTGTTCTGTGACAGACACTCTATAGAAAATCCAACACAATGCTTTCTGCCATTAAAGGGGACCATGGGGAATGCCCAGTGAAATATTGCTGTGTTCGTCTATTGGTTCCCATTGCTCAAGGGTCTGTGACCAAGACAGCGAACTGTGACAACTTCAGACTTATTCTCTACTTATGTACTTTCAGCGATATTGACTGTCTTTTCGTTTGTGGCTGTGTCTTTCAAAGGACCAGTGAGTTACTCTCCCAACAAGAGCACCAACAACTCAACCCACATGACTTCGTCAGGCGTGGGTGCATCACAAGGTCATCGCCAGGGGCCCAGTTTTGCATTGCCAGGCAGCAGTGAGGACAGCGAGGACATCTTGCCATGTCTGGCCCCAGATGTGGGTTCTGGGGAGGAGGGTGATGGGGACAGCTCTGGGAATGAGGGTGAGGCAGGTACGGACAAAACAAGAACTGAACGGTCATTTGCAGTTGCTTGATAAACATACCAAGCCAAAAAAATTATGAAGAACTTCACTTGGAGTGAAACTCACAACATTTCAGTGAAATGACTGTCTTGGATGTTAGCCATCTGAAGAAAACTCTAGTCGCGTGACTGAATCCTAAGAAATGAGTCCAAATCAATTTTATTGTCTTACAAGTTGTGTATGTGTGAGAAAGCATGTACACAACTCCTCACTTTGGTTTCTCAGTCAGTTTGACAACCTGATGGAAAATAGGAGAAATGTTTGTATTTCTTATTAATTCTCAGTAGTGTTGTGTTGGTATTAAACTCACTCGTGGCTGTTGTAACTTCAGACCCTGTTTGCTGTAAAGCCCATCAGGAACAACATTATTGACTGAGAGCCAAGCCTAGTACTGCCTTCAAGTGATCAAGGCTATGTGGTATCTATTTTACCTTGTTGGGGTCATAATTCATATACCAGCTTTGTTGACTCATGTCTCAGTTTTGTAAGATTGGTTCAAGTATCAAGTTTTTCATTTTGCGGTTTGTTTTAGAAGAGGCATCTGCCAGTGAAGACCAACCAGACTCTGATCGAGACACTTCACCATCGGTTGTCCGTCATTCGGATGTGCCACAGCATCCCCCAGACTCCTCCCCTCAGCCAATCAAACAGACCCTCCTCTCAGTTGCCAACGAGTACCGCAAATCCCAGTCACCGGACACATCTGGACAGACCTTGACCGGCCCGGACTCACCGCTTGCCCAAGAGGGGTACGTCCCCAGCGCGTTCTCGCGCCACTCCCCGCACCGCCAAGTCCTGATGACCGAGGGGGCAGAGGTCATTAAAGCAGCCGGCGGCTCGGTGAAGACGACCGGGAGTGTTAGTTCAAACCAACCCGCTGCCTCATCTGTGCCCACCGATACCGGGGAGCAAAGTAAACCAAGGGAGTCACGCTCAGCTAAGTCACGGCAGCCGCAGTTTGTCTGAACCCACCGATCTGCCTGGAGCATGATCAGTTAATTTTTTTTTCTTATTTATTTAACGGACTGTGGATTTGACTTTTACATCTAGTGCATGGATTTCAACAAGTCTACAATCGTGGTTTGGGCATCTTATACAGTTTATTGCAGAGCCAAACCCTGTTTGTTTGATATCTCGACAATTTTTATTCATCCTTACTGGACCGGAGTGCTTTATAGAATCACACATTGCACCGTTACAAAATTTGTAGTTGCACTTATGTCCAGGCTAGTGCAGGCAGCCGGTTTGTCCTTTTTAGTGAAAGCCCAGGACTGTCTTTGAGTTTGTACATTTGAGCAAAGGGAAGAGTGAAGAATCTATGCAAAGTGTTAAATTTATCATCTTGACGCACACAAACAAAGTATGTAGGCACTGTTGCATGTTGTGGAGTGAACAAATTTCTTGAACAAACACCGCAAAGTTAGTTAAAGTACAGCATTTAAAAGAGGGTAATGAGCACATACTGAATAGTTCATAAAAGAAACACTTATTGTATTTTTGTATTTATACAAATCAATAAATTATATTTATTTCCCATTGTAACGATTGCCATCTTATGATGTATCTAGAAGCAGAATTATTTATCAATGCCTTAACAAAACTTTGTGTATTTTTAAATGATACACTTGCCATGTTGGCACGCGTAATATAAGGTGGAGCATCCTAAAATACATTGCAGTCTTGTATAGCCAGGAGTGATTACTTTTTTCCCCACTACTAAGGCCTGCCTGAACGTGGGAGAATGAACTAAATTTTTTGTTCCCTTAACTATCTACAGACCAAGTTTTGTGGCCGGGGTGATTCCCAACTGTTTCTTTTTTGGGGGGTTAGTATTGTGAATAGGCAGTATTCCAGGTACCAGTGTGCTTAGCGCTCAAAGCCATTATCTAGAGGTGCATTCAGTTGTGCATTGCATACACCAGCATTGGTGATCCTTGTACTCCTCCATTGTTGAAACTACGTATGTGGGAATGTGTTGCACTCACTAAACTCACCCTGGGTTACTTCAAACATGCTTTGTTAAATAAGAAACATGTTTAAAAACTTTGTAGGGAGTTCCACCGTTGGTGAAAGTTGCAACTTATATACAGAATTTAGAAGAGAAAGTAGAAGTACTTGCAAAATAAAGTAAGCCATAGATGTGGGTTATACATGTTACAGTGACCTGAATACTTGAGGTTTCAGCAAATATTAGACCAAATGTATTGGCATTTTTCTCGAATTACAGTGTCTGATAATTTTAGATGGCACCTATCTGGGCAAGTGCGAGCAACAACAATCTTTTGTCTAGTACCCTGAATATATTTTGTCCACACATGTAGGTTACCAGAGAAATCAACAGTAAATAAATGGTTTAAAAATGAGATTGAACATTGTAGTTCAGCGGCTGTCACTCAAATTGCTAGCATTGAACTAGATATCAAAAAAATGAGGTATCAAACAGATGTGGAAACAAAGCCTCACTGTTGCTTTGTTGACTTTTGGCTCCTGTTTGGTCATTGTAGTGATTTGGAACATAACAGCCTGGGATTATAAAACAGTCAAGACAGACTCAGTTTCATGCACTTCAAAAAGTATTGCGTGCAAATGGCTGATGATTGCGCAGGAAGACATTACTCTCGACTGCTCAGAGGCGAATCTTTGACGTGACCACTACTCTCGTCTGTCCACAAATGGGTTTTCTGTTTTTCCATAAAACTATTTTACACTCTACCTCATGAAGTCTTAGATCAGAAGTTGTTTCAGTGCTTGAAACCTGCTGAAAAAGCCACACAACAATTGCAATAACAGTGGCTGTTTATAAAGTGTGGACACTCAAGACACAGCTTCGTTACCAGCCCTGCTCACCAACCTGCAAAAAGTGGATTCATCTGCCGGTTTTAGGGGTTTCAAAGTCATTTTTGAGCCACGAAAGACTGGAACATATTTCAGAATACACTGGAAGGCAAAAGAAACTTGCCACTTCTGTCAAAGGCCACACATAAAAATTCACTCCATAGATATAAACAATTTTTGTACACAGGTATGCTGCAAATACCCCTTACTAATCACATGCCCAAAAGCAAGTGATTATCTTTTAATATAACAAAGAAGAAATTGACATACACAGCAACTTGGTTACTGAATCAAAAGTCACACACAAAAGCACTCCCCACCAAGCAAAAATGACCCATGAGCGGGCAATATCTTAAACAACCAGTGACAAAGTGAACACCTGTTTTGTCAAAGTGATGTGCATGAGTGGTTTCTGTATAGGGATGCCATCCTTACTGACTAGGCATACACATTATTGAAACTAATGATTGTGACTTCTTTATTTTGTCCTGTGACATTGATTTCTGCGTAAAACTTACAGCTCATTCTGTTACATTCTGTGACTTTTGATTCAGTAACCAAGTTGCTGTACATGTCAATTTCTTCTTTGTTATAAACATATTGCTTTTGGACAAAGGGGTATTGCTGCATACCTGTATACAAAAATTGCTTATTTCTATGGAGTGAATTTTTATGTGTGGCCTTAAACAGAAGTGGCAAGTTTCTTTTGCTGTCTAGTTTAGTTTGAATGTTTAACAAGATGTCCTGAAATCCACTTTTAAGTAGGTGTCTACTTTCCCTTTCACCTGCTCTCTGGCTATTATATGTTTTATCATTGGACAGTATCATCCTACATGTAGCTGCTATATGTGTTAACACTTATTTATAATTACTAGTACCAGTGCTGTTTAATATTGTACGCATCTATCCGAAAAACTGCTGAACTGTCTCTTTATGCGGGCACTTTTTTCCAACCGAAAAATTTATTACAACTCACTTGTGATTTGCTGTGTGCTGTGTACCAAGTCTTCACTTTTGTACAAATTAAGGGGCCATGAGGCTCTGAATTTTTTTATGAAAACATTAATCTTCACTGTTTTTGGTGAATTTCATGTTGTGAATGCTTTCCAGTTGTGACTTGTTTTCACTAACAAAAAGTGATGATTTAGGAACCCTAAGACAAACTTTCTTTAGAGGGTAGGTTAATCAACCTTGCCCTTCTTCATTCTGAAAAAAAGATGAAAAATAAAATTATAGAGCTGCAAAGCAAAACATAGTGCTGAGAAAATTAAATTGCTTGAGTATCTAATCGTCAGGCAGAGTACCAGTCAGTTGCCATATACATTACATTATAAAACCCAGGCTACGGGCTAACTTGTCATGTGAACGATATTGCTTTCAACTGGTCCCCTGCTGTTTTTCACTGAAGGTAAATTTGCTAACCAGATACTTCAGTTCACCAACTCCAAATTTTGACATTGGCAGGGGTGGTTTAGGCGCGAAAAAATTTCATAGGCTGGTCAGTACCATTTATGTAACCTGCTGTTTTGATCGATACAATAATTGCTCATTTCTAATATCCATGACTTGCTCTCTAGTTCAAACCTCTATGTTTTTAGCCTACCATGGGTTAATATTGTATTGAACAAATATGTAGTGTGTACGGACACATTTACCATTATTTATGTAAAAAAAAATTCATAGAAATATATTGTGAAATAGATGATAACAATAATACAATATTAATTATTCATTTAAATAAAACTAATATTAAGAGATGTAATATGTCCAAAAATAATCATTTCTGAGATGGTGGGTTTTTTGTTTTGTTTTTAAGCCACTGAATGCGTTTTCAGTTTTGTAGCAAGCTGTGTGAACTCAGTCTGACCTTTCTGTTGTGTAGGACTTTCTTACCCGCCAATTTAAGAAACAAACAGTATTTTTCCTGCCACACTCAGTGAGATGTTTATGGGGGGGGTGGTGGTTTGGGGAAATTTGGATTCATGAAATTGTCTACCAGCTGTTCCGCTGTTCCATCATGTATCCACTGAGCTGGGCAAATGAAAAGCTGAGGCTTTTTTAGGTCTTTGATCATTCCCAATTTATTGCCTCTTTAGTTGAGTAAGTTACAATTCATCTGTTCACTGAGGCACACAGTCGCCCCGCACCCCATCCCCAGCTCCGTGAAACCGCACCCATATAATACCTGCACCTGAAGCCCAGCTGGCAACTGAGGGCGCTATGCCAACTTCTTGACTTTCCAACATTAAAAAAATTACAGATTTCAGAAAGATGGAAAAATGGCGGGTGGCACAAGTTGTTTTCCCTGCCTGGCGCCCACAAAGAAGGCCGTTTCCCCGTCTTTTAACATCGTTCATCGGTTGCATATGAGACAGGTAAGGACTTTTTTTCTCTCAGGATACGTTTCACAGATTTTTTAGCTAAATGTTAATTTCTGCAGAAGTTTATGTCCAACAGTTGGATGGGCGCCCGGGCACGTCTGGTTAGCTGGTTCCGGGCTAGCGCTGGAATGTTGTCCATGATGTTGTCGCTCGGCAGTGTACTAGGGCCTATTTTAGCATTACTATTACACTCTGTCATGAAAGCAAAACAGTGCAACTATGTTTATTGAAGCTGATGAGAGTGACGTTGCACAGATATGAAGGGACAGAAGGATCTGCACACTACCAGTACTGCCATTGTGCCAAATGTTTTCTGAATTCTTCGAGTGCAAAGTTAATTTTCGCTTTCCTTCTGTCCTTTAGGGTAAGCCAACCCCCAGAACTGTGGGGTCTGCTCTGCTCCCACAAACCCCGCAGAAAATGAGCCTTTTTCACCATAGGCTCCAGGGCCTGCATGACCATGACCAGACTACCGCTGTGATCAATGCACAAGACACGGAAATCGGCTGCTGCCGCTTTCCGTACATGTGTGTAATTCTTAGCCGCACTGGTTGAATTGACAGTTGGCTGCAGTGCGCTGGGGCGTGGGTCACACTGACCAATCACAGGGCTCCTCATTATTTATGCCTGAATGGTAGGAACGACAAGCAACAGTTGTTCGGTGCCAGTGCATGTGAGCGCCCTGTTGCACTGTGAATACTTTTCTGTTGAGGCCGCATGTGGATGCAAACAAAGATCGCTGCATGTCCGCATCCACATGCAGCCTCTACAGAAAGTGTTCAATGTGCGACAGCTCACTTATTTGCACTGGTACCCAATGGCTGTTGCTTGTCGTTCCTGCAATTCGGGCATAAATAATGAGCCATGTGATTGGTCAGTGTGACCCCCAGCGTGCTGCAGCCAACTGCCATTTCAACCGTTCAGTCCAGTCGCGGCTAAGAATTACACACACTCTTATGGAAAGCGGCTGGATGCAGCTTATTTCCATGTCCTGTGTAGCGGTTGCAGCCGTAGTACACATGTGAACCGCATGACTCTCAGACGTTGATCGGGAAATATTTGCACCTTTTTTTTTTTTTTAATGCATGGTTTTGGCCCATTTTTTTAAAGTGTTGAGGGTCAAAATGAATATGTTTTTACGCGAAGTTATTTTCTTATTATCCCTTTTTCTTTGCGTAAAATATGCCAATGCACACCCTAACGGAAGCCCTGTACTGATTGAGCAATTGCAATGGCAGTGCCTCAATGACAAAATGCAAATTGAAACCTGATACAGATTGGCAATGAAAATTGTGCAGTGCCATAACTACAGTATAGAAATTGGAAGTTGCGTTACAGTTACCACAGCTATGGGGCAGTGGGGACATCTGGGATTCTTGCATTAGTTGCAAAGTGGCAGATACCACACTGGCGACATACGCATGCTCCAGCCAGTCCAAGGATCGTGTTACACAGTCTTTTCTTTGATCAGTACGTATGCGCGTGCTCGTTGCAGATTGGTTTCATTGGCGTGGTGTGGTTTGTGAAACTCCCAGATGTCCACGCTGCCCCGCGGCCACTTTGTTAATGAAATATCAGAACATGTATTTATAAGCCTACATGTACATGTAGGAAGTAGGCCTAGGCCCAATATAAAAACACGTTAGGCCTACAACAAACATGGAGACCTGTCATTGCTTGGCACAACTTGAGTAATTGCAGAATACCCTGTCGCTGGAACTGTACCCCTTGCAGTCCCTGGCCACAAGGTGGAATTGAGTATGCTTGTACATGTATTTCATAGGGGGTTACATGGGTTGCACTGCATGACTTTGGACATGGCACGTCAGAGTTTTGGATACTTTTGAGAATGAAGCATTGCACAACAAATGCAAGTTATTGAGGAAAAGTATTCCAAGTCCAAATGAACTGTATCCAGCTTAATGGATATGAAGTCAGAGCATATTGAGAATGGCATAGTTACTTTGGGTAGGCAGTCAACCATGACTCCGTAGCCAGCTATGAGATGGGATACTCTGGTGATGGGGTATTCTACATTTGTGCCTTAATTTCTTTGGCTATTTTGTGCAAGTTTTGCTTGCGTAAGGAGCCCAGACAGCTCTAATGCTTACATTGGGAATTTTCATTCGGGTATGTCCAAGGACATTCTTTCCAAGATGTCACTTAGCGTGTCTGCTTACAACTAAGTCTCTTTTTTGTGCCAGTTATTCCATTGCCCAATTCAAAGATTCACTCTGTCCAGAGAAAATTTTCATAGGCATTTATTTCTGTTCCCTGAACATCTTCCTTAACAGTTGAGAGGCAGTTTACGTCCAACAGCCTGTACTTATCCGGTCTGCCGCTCCTTATTTGGCAAGATTCCAGGCCGCCTTGGCATTCCGCTCAAGAACATCGTGGACACAACCTCGCTTCTTGAGGAAGGGTAATGTAACAAACTGAGGAAGGGTGCAATTGTGATGGAACACTGTCCAGCCATTTTCCTTTGATACAAGTCCCAAAAATAGCTGATGACACTCCCCAGTTGACAGCTCATCCGACCTTGATAAATGGCAGACTGAAATGATGTCTGGTTTCATGGTCTGCATTTTCCGTGCAAGGTCATTGCTGTCTCTGAGCCTTAGTTGGCCATTAATGTGCTTGATTATCTCTTTCCTGCAATCTGATTGGTCAGGCTTATAAGTAACCACAGACAATGCCATGTACAACTATGCCAACATATAGCAACATTTGGCAACACAACCTCACACAATATCGTCATGACCCCATAATCTCTCCCTCCCCCCCCAAAAAAAAGATTGTGCTACCCAATCTCTTTTTCCAACCATCTGTCCTTGCAACTAGTAAATAGAAGCAGCAAAAATTTTTTAAAAATCAATGCATGAGTTATGTTTCTGACAAATGTCTGTGATGATATTTTCTCTCTCATATTTTTCCTTTTCCTCCTTTTCAGCCATGTGTTTTTAGGCTTCAGCAAAGACGGCCAGTTTGTGCTTTCCTACACGCTCAACGTGGATGCCGATGATGAGTCCTCATTCCCAGTCTATGTCTACCAGCTATACTGGTGGAAGTTTAGAGACAACCAACCAATGTACAAGGTGAGGGGGGACGTTGGGAGAGCCGGGGTTGAAGATGGAGGGAAATTGTGCTAGGAGGGGGAAGGGAAAGTCCCAGTAAACCTTGGCTGGATACTTTTGGCCTTCTGTTTTTCCTCCAACTTTCTGCAGGTGTCTGAGGTTCGTCTGTTCAATGAGGAGGAGATCCAACAGGATCTGTACATTGCTGTTTGCAGCTGGCCTACGGATAGCTCCAAGGTCCTGGTCTATGGCTGGTTAGTATCATTCAGTCTGTCCATTTGTCCATATACATGCAGCATTCAAGACAAAGACAATTTACACACAGAAGCCCTGTGTAAGTTAATAACAGAAAGATTTGCTAGCTGTTATTTATGAAATTCCTCAAAGTCTAGTTATTTTGTACAATGTCTAGCACAATACTAATGCCATTCCTCCAGGTACATGCCAAGATTCATTGTCATGCTAATCGATGTAGAAACTTAAATGATCTTTCTTCACGGCAGCTGTACGTCTTCCAAGCCACGCACTGAGGAGAAGCTGATGTGCTATGTGACCATCACAGCTGTGCCTTCCCTGACACCTTGTCCAAAGTGCCTTCACCTCAAGTACAGTACTGATAGCGACTACACCATCCACACAGGTGAATCCCATGGTCAGGATGGACTGTGCGTGCCCAGGAGAGCCCAACAGTATTGTTATTTAAGATCCCTCTATCAGCATTGTCGTGGGCACGTTTATGATGTGTTCTACTCATGCGCAACAGCATATATTTGTGCACATTCCATTGAAATTAGTCACACATGTGCCATTTGTACATGTTAACCAGTGCACACACATGATGGCCCCCCTTGCTTAACCCTTATGAGTAAGCCAATCTATGCAGTCCACAGTGCCTGCCATATTGGGCTTATCAAAGACATCTACATGGAGAACCCCTGTTCTAAATGGACACATACAGTATCATTCCCACTCTCAATATGTTCTGTCCTGGTCGGCATACATCAAATGTTTTAAGTTACCTTCACCAGAATGTCTAATAGAGCCTGAAAGTTGAACCCTGATGGCGCGTTTCCGGAACCCTTGGATAGGAAAAAATATGTGCAAAGGTTTTAGAACTTGTACTATTTTTTTGTTCAGTGACTTCTCTAAAAATCCAACTCAGAAAAGGGGCTTTGGAAAATATTTGCTAGTATTCAATTTATAGAAATTGAAAAATTACCTGACCTAAAAGAGAAATATCCTTCCAAAAATTTACAGAGAACTGTTCAGTGCGGCAGTCTCATACGCAGATGAACATTTACGGTTTGACATTTTATGGCCTTAGGTACATTTTCCCCAGACATGAAAGGTCGAATAATGAAATTAATTTTTTAACCGGGTGACTCAGGTGACTTTTCTAAATATTACTGGAAGACAAAGGTAAAATTCCAACATGAGTTTTTTCATGGGGTGGTTTCAGTTAGGAATTATTCTTCCAAAAATTATTGAAGGTGATATGATGACCCAATGTAAAATCCCCATAGGCTGACCACACAAGGGTTCTGGAAGCTCGCTGCATGACCTTTTACTTTCAGGGTCTATTGAATTGGACAAGAGACCTCAATCTTTTATCTCTTCAAACTCAATTTGCAGATCCAGGGGTACCTGCAGAACTCCTGGATGAGTTATCGGCCACCTCAGGGGCTGCTGCTCCGCCCTGCTGCCTACAGCACAGTTTTGCCGTCCACACCAAGTACGAGCTGTCGCCCCCCTTTCCTTCCTTCTCCCCTAAGCACAGCCTGGCCAAGGACGGCGTTGTGGTCCTAAACACAGGGGACTCCATTGTAGCCTTGGCAGTGAATGTCGGGGACCAGGACCTGCCCTCAGGGAGCCTGTACTCCCCTCTCCTCACCCCTTCCCGGGGGTCCAGCACCCATCGGTCTAGCTCCTATGGGGTCAGCACACCTCGCCCTGGTGCTGGGGTAGAGCCAGACGAGGACCTGGAGGACAGTGCAGCATACCCCCAGCAGATCGAGAGACACAGCCGGGCCCTGGCTGCCATGGAGCTAGACAGCTACCAGCTCTGCGACGAGTGGGACTATCCTGAAAGCTCCCCAGCCATGTTCCTGCAGGACTCGGACTTGGACGACGAGGCTGACAGGGACACAGAAGAGGACAAGCTCATGCCCAGGGAACAGACACTGACGTTCGGCACGGCTGGCGGTGCTGAGAATTGGAGCAATGTCAACAGCGGTTACCTGAGCAGTTCGCTAGGCCATCAGTCACAAAACCACCAGCATCTTGCAGAACCGGGCCTGCCCTGGTGCACCTCGGAAGATACCGGAGTGTCTTCCTCGGACCCTACATCCTCAGCTGCTTTGCCTGAAATACAAGTCACCGCTCACTCTCCCGAGGCTGCTGACCTGAAAATCTCAGGTGTCACCGGAGACAGCTCTGAAAGTAGTGTCATTAATACTGACAGTTCGGAGGAACGTAACTCCAGAAGACATTCGAGAGGCAAAAGCCATTGCAGAGATGCCGGCCCGTGCAATCAGGCAGAAATTCTGCCCCAGGTGGCAAGCCAAGAACAGGTGCACACCGGAGGAAACGTGGCACCGAAAACAAACCCCATCAGCGGAGACAAGGGCACCCCCACGAACCATTGCCTGGTGGGGCCCTACATGAGCTGGAGTAGTCCACTACGGAGCGGGGGCTACACCGTGTCGGACCGAGGGAGCACTTGCGGGGAGGATGGGGAACTGGGCAGCGAGATTGAGCAGCATTGCCCTTACCACCACCGAATCACGGAAGGCAGCATGCAGGGCAGCCAGCACACCATGCAGGAGTGCACTTGCAGGCTGCAAGGTTTCACTTATTCGGTTCGACGATACGTGGAAAGAGCCCCCTACCATGACTACCTGCAGGCCTTGGAGCAAGACAGTGAGTACCCTCATGTATCATAAAATTAGCAAAGAATGCAGTACGTGAGTGGAATTCGTTGATGAAGAACCCTAGACATTCTTACATTTTTTATAAATAGAATCGAGAAGGGCAATGACAAAAGGTGTTATCTTATGGGACTATGTTCCAATCTGTGCTATTGGCACTTTAAAGACTGTTGTGATTTTAACAATTCTTGTTATCTTAACCCTCAGACATTTGGAGGTTTGTTTTCCAACTTGTACGCATTCTACTTGCAGCTGTGTGTAAATTTCATGTACAAATAGCATCAGTGTATAATGACTTTTGTCTTTCCAGCCTTCGACTACCACAGTATGGTCCCACTGGTTGTGTGTGGTACCAAGAAGTCCCCGATGGTGATAACCAACAGGTGTCTAATCAACGAGGTAACCTGTCTTTTCTAATATCTCCTGTTCTACCTTGTCTGATATGCAGCTGCAGATTTTCAGTGCCAAAACCAAAGTTGCAGTGATAAATTTTCAAGAAAATCTAAGAGAAAAGAGAAAGTGTTTGACAGGAAATGGCCCAAATCAATCCAACACAATTTGATTTACCATCTGTAACAGGCTCAGTTCCCGCCTAATGCCATGTGTCAACTTGTTACAAGGAAGAAGTTGATGTAAAGCAGGTGTGATGTGTAATAATATGTTTTTCTCACCTACAAGGAGTAAGAGTTTGTACTGGCACAGCTGATGCTTTTCTTACAGGGCTACCATGTAGAAGTGAAGCAGCTGACAATGGATGCCGAACACTACCTCTGTGTCACCATACGCACCTATGCCCCCTGGGCCAAGCGTTACATCTCCTTCACAGACTATGATATGCAAATATTGGATGTAAGTCAGGGCTTCATTGGAATAAAGTTCTTATTGTCCCAAATTGCCCTTTGTAGACTGCTGAAAACACTATATTGTGAGTGTACCCGAAATTGAGAAATATCAATTGTTGGCGTATACCCAGTGTTTGAGTTTTGGCCTATTTGCATTGATCTTGATGTCAGAAGTATCTCTCTAATGTGGAATATGTTTTTAAAAAGGATGAACTCCAAATACAACGACGTGTTCTTTATTAGCAACACGGCAGTTTTGGTGATTCATAGTTAGTTGTATGTTTGATTATGACTACACAGCAAACAGCACATCTATAGATGTAAACGAGAAATGTAAAGCAGTGGTCATACAAGCTGGACTTTTGTAATGATGTATTGGACTTGCGATGTTTTGATTGAGTTGGTGTAAAAGAGTTTTGTTTTGCAAACTGGGGAAGTTGATGCTTGCATTATTAAATGGCCAATTATTTATTTGTATTCATGATTTCTGTTTGGTTGACAGGTGTGTGGAGATTCGTGCAGTGTGGTTGTCATGGTGATTGCCCTCATCCGGGCGTGGCCAGAACCAACAGTGCCCCGGGATGTCTTTGAGTTTGATGACGACCCGACAAAGTCAGTCACAACTTCTAATCAACAGCATTTCAGCATTTCAGTTATTCCTAATCCGTCAGGAATGTGTACATGTTTACTCTTCCTGAAATCTACTAATGTGTGTGACAAACCAGTTATATACTCCTGTAAAAGATGGTATTTAAGCCTCATTTTAAAAAAAAGTTGCTGTGCCAAGTTTGTTAAATGCAATGCCAAAATTAATCCTGGCGAATGTTTGCAATCTTTGTGTGGTTTTTCTCAACAGTCATCATTTTTGTAATTTCACAGTGAGACGCCCAAACTTTACGAGACAAGATTCAAGTTCTCCTGGAATCTGAAAACGGGTGAGAAATTTTTATGCAATCTGAGAAAACCCCCTCACACTGTCATTTTGAAAATTTGTGCACAAGATCCCTTACTCTACATGGTTCATTTCAATGGCACAGAATCTTGCTGGATTGAGCTTTTTTGGAGTCAAAACACTGATATAATACACTCCTTTCAAAACAAGAGTTAATCTTTTTACAGTTTTTACAACTTTTTAACTGACCTGTGAACAGGTTTCGCTCAGATGTAAGCACCTTGCTCCTTGGAGCAAAACAGAAAGTAAAATTTCTTGGCACAGGGACAATTTTGAAGGCATTGTCTCTACCAAAGTATTGTCCTGAAAATCCATAACATCGTAAGGCTCTGACCCCTTCTCCTTTGTACTTAGGACCCTTTCTAAATTAAAAAAAATGACCCAGTCTTATTTGGATAGTGACCACTCATTTGTTCCAGGTCAGTACCAGACTATTGAGGTGGGGGAGTTGAAAGAATTCAACCAAGCTGCTCTATGGTAAGGATGCTGTAAAGACTTCAATGCAGATGTTGAGGACGGCAGTGTAAATGCATAGGTCTTGAATTTGTTTCAAGCTAATTGCACTCGTGCCTTTTCTGGCATGTTTCACTTTTCACTTTGTTTTTTTGCTGTGCAGCAAAATGTGGAATCCAGGTCGTGTGCTATGCCAACGGATGCAGCGTGAGTGGGCGGTTCCTCAGGCCCACGCTAGGGGGGTGCATGTTCTTACCAATGAGGCAGTATTTAAAAGTGAGTATTTTTAAGTTCAAACCATGATTTGTGGTGTCCCTGCATGTAGCTGGAATTTTTTGTCGGTCCATAATGGAATATTGAAAACAAACAACTTGTTACAGCCAGCGGCAAAATTTATTTACTTTATATGTACATGAGACTTGTATCATGTTACAATAGGATGAAAATCCAGTGTCCCCTAACAAGATTTTTTGCTATAATAAGTTTTTGAACAATTGAAAGATAATCTTCAATACTGTATACGGAGGAAGTCATTACACAAACCCCAGCTTCGTCTCTGGGTTCAGCTACAGGTTTTATAGTAGCCAACTCCAGAGTCTTGGCCAGTGTGTGAGAAATACATGTAGCTATAAGGAGAAGAAGCCGAGAGATGTAATGTTTTTTTAACCACACAGACAAATCTCTGAGGAAGCTGTTGGACCCTGTACACTACGTAGCCATCGTGCTGACATGATCCATTATGGGACCCACAGACCCAACCTCTGTACCTGCTATGCACAGTCCATGGTGCTGACATGATCCCATGGAGGGACCCACAGACCCAACCTCTGTACCTGCTATGCACAGTCCATGGTGCTGACATGATCCCATGGAGGGACCCACAGACCCAACCTCTGTACCTGCTATGCCCAGTGCATGGAGCTGACATGATCCCATGGAGGGACTCATAGACCCAACCTCTGTACCTGCTATGCCCAGTGCATGGTGCTGACATGATCTACAGAAATTGAAAAGAACTGCTCCCGACACTCGGTATGTAGAAGACACATACACGTCAGGTCACAGCAGTTAACACATACTCCTGTACAGAGCTGAACGTAAATCATAAATAACATTATAACATTATAAACTTTTTGCGTGATCACAACAGTTCAGTTCAGTCCCCACGAAGCTCTCAGAATAAAGTGTACTATTCACAGCATGATACATGTCAGGAGTATGTAGGTCCACATTTTTGTTCAGTTTCTGCATTTTCAGATTGGTTCCTGTTTAACATTGTTAACAACTTGTTCAGTTTCTTGGAGTTTTCCACACTTCCATTTCTTGCTTTTGTGTACACATTCAGTGTATTTTTTCTGAATACAGGCGTCCAGATTTATTTAGGCTGCAGTGCTGTTTTTTGGGTGTTTTTAGTTCCAAAGATTTTTGGAAGTGTATTTGGTTGCTTCACCCATGCTTGTCCCCTTCATTAACCCTAACCCCTAGGGTGTATGTAAAATCATAGTGAAATCGGAGGATTTGGGACTGTTAAACTCTACAATACGTGAAGATGTTACTAAAATTCATTGAAAACTGCAAACAGTACTAAAAGTCTCTTTCAGTGGAAGGCCGAGATCCACTTTTAGCCATTAAAACCAAGCCCATTGTGTGTTCAAATCTGCCTTCGTTTTGAACAGCAGTGTTATCTCCAGTCCATGTTTTTTTTTTACAACAGCCCAACCCTCTTGCTTTCAAATTATCTTCCTGACTAAACTTTTCTGCTGGTTTGTGTCATATCATGTAAATTCCCCCTCACATAAATTTAACATCCTCTCATGTGATAGAAAAGATTTTAACCACTTCGATATATATTGTGCGCCCATGCATTTTTGGTTTAAAACAAATTATGCACGCGAGTTTCTGTTAGAATAACGCATAAACTGAAGATCTTAAAAGTAACCAACACAATGTCATATTTTCGTTGTAAACAACATACGATGGTACCGGTGTTAAGATAAATGGCTTGTGTGTGTGTATATATTATGCAAACTTTCATGTTGCAGGTGTGTGTAATAAATTTATACAGCTTTGCAGTATTTTCATTCATCATTTAAGGCTGTTTATCTGTGGTTTCTGGTTTCCAGTTGGAAGAAAAACCAATGCTATAAAGGTGCATCCTTGAGAGAAAAATGAATTGATGTACATGTACACATCATCGCATTGAACTGATAAGTTCTCAAGATATTCCTCTATCATTGTCATAATTTTCAGTAAATTTTCCAATTTTTTTTTTCAATTAGCCTAAATGTAATGGTGGAGACAGAGGAGATTCAGGTTTGTAAACATTACTCAGGAATTGCCTTTACAGAATGAGAAAATCATTTTTGAATCTGCACACAGAAAAAAAAATCAAAATTGCAAGGGGGCTGCCTTGCAATTCACCTATGACTGGGCCAGTATATGAATTGTTTCAAAATCAAATGTTTTCAAGCACTTTCAAATGTACTTGTCAACATGGTAAAATTTATTGAAATTTTGAATTTTAACTGGGCCCAAATTCATTTCCTTTGAATCTCTCAAAAGTTTAATTCTAGACAAGACCAGTCATAATTATAGATATTTTCTGGCGGATAAATCACAAAGCTTAACTGTGACATTAGGCTTATTACTGAGGAGATTAACTTGGTCAATATTTTCAAAAAAGGGGAGAATGTAATAATGCAACATTAATTTTTTTAAAATTAAAATTGGGTCAAAAGAAATTTGCCAAATTACCACACCTACATATCTCAATATCACATTGATATTCACTATTAAAACCAGAGGACAATGGAAATTGTACAATCATATGTAATTTTTATTACAGATCTCAAAATGTTTGGTTATTCACAATGGAACAACTGGTTTCATAAACTAGCACAGTGTACAAATAGTGCATGGACGATCACATACAACAGTATTTTTAGGAATGTATTCATTTATACCAACCTGTTCAAATCCAACCTTTAAAAACCTGACTGCAGCTAAATTTCCACCTTGATTTTAATGATTTCAGAATGTGAACTTCTCAACAAAAAATCACCCCAAACGGAAGTTCTGACAGAGAACCAAACTTGATCCAGAATGTTCCAAATTTCAGCAAAAGGAATACTTGTGTCCCTGGGCTCCCTGTGATTCTTGTACTACTCTAGAGCAAAATCAGCCGACATGACTGTAAATTCCACTGTGTGACGGTGTCACACAGCAAAAGTGACCTGTCATAATGTGGGCATCATCTCCAATGTAAACTTCAACAGGATGTGAAAATAAATTGGCTGAAATCACACTGAGTGATCAACAATACTTTCGTGCACAAAAATCAACCATTTGGGGTTGAACAATTTTTGAAACACTTTGGCATTTTTCATGTTTGTGATATTCAAATCTATTTTTTCCTTTAATTAAAACAAGCAATTTGCTGGCGCGGCATTTTTATCAATGAGTTACACAATGGTGCTTATTTGTAAAGCAAATGACAACTATGAACATTAAAAAAAGAATATTAGTCGCAGGCAATAAATGCAATTTTAAGCATGACTACCAGCTACACGCATTGCAGTGGTTACCGGTACATAAAATAACTTTATATAAATATAAATATTCAATTTGGTGGTTGATCAATATATACTTTCTAGTGTTTTTTTTTTTGTTTAATGTGGTCAGCACAAATCAAGATACAAACCCCTCTTCAAACACAGTTCCCTTTCTAAACGATTAGTGAGGACCACTTCACTGCAGAGATTTTTTTCTTCATAGTTGGCTAATGCATATGGTTATCTCCCGTTACGAAGAGCGCCACAACTTCAAGTTGATGCACAATCCTTCTGGCATTAAAAGATCAGAACCTTGAGTGTTAGAATACACGCTTGATCTTCAAAAAACCCCATTTCCTCACATTTCAAAAAAACACAAGAAAGAAGGGCAGCTCTTCCCACGGTGTTACCTTCCACATACCTTCTACAACCTTTTCTCTATGTGAGGCGTCATACATTTGTACACCTTACCTACGACTACAATAAATACAGTCATACAGCAAGGGATACCGGTAACTTGATAAATGCAACTTAGAAAACCGGCTGAACGGGTAACTTCAACAATGTCTCCAAAGGCTTCAAGAGTTGTGTGTAAACAGCACGGGGTGTGCTTTGCACACGTCAATCTAAACAAAAATAGACTGTCCTGTGGTCCACTGATAAGCTGAGTGAACCTAAAAATGAAAAACTCCATAAATTTTTATACAAATCTTATAAGAGATGAGTCAGTAAGGATCTCTAAACTTTGGAGATTCCTATTTCATTTGCAAAAGGAACATGGTGGAGAATTCATGCTGCTTTGTTGAAGTTTTCAAAGTATACACCGACAGAGACTAGTGTTGAGACTTGACAGCGAGTTGCTTTAAGGGAGAGAACAGGAAACATGGAAAATGTGTGCACAGTTTGAACAAAAATGAAACAAAAAAGACACTAGGAAGCAGGAATACTGCAATCAAAATACAAAACAGGTCTACAAAGGAAAACTTATGAGGAATAAGACTTTTGAAACGGAACAAAAACAGGAAAAAACCAAAGAAGAATTTGGTTTTACTTGATATAAGTTTCTGTTGTATAAATAACAGTTTTCAATCACTAATAGTCTCGAATTGATTTTGAACAATAAAAACGAGTGAAATGCTAATGAAAGATCTGTTTATCAGAAATAAACTATTTAGGACATTCTATATTTAACTATACAGTTACTGAATAGTACAACATTTAACATTAAAGTAACCAGAGGCTGTCTTTTTTTAGAGTGATAAGGCTCTCTTCATGTGCATGGTATTATTGCAATTACCTTGCTGAACAGAAAAGCCTGTCCTAGTAATTTCCTGTACATTAACATGACTTTTGGAAAATGTAACAAAATCTTGCATTGTAATTTTTCTGACAACTGTTCCCCGCTGTAGGTTTTTAACACGGACAGTCATCGCAAGGTCATCGCAACCTTCAAGGTTTTAATGAGCCCAGCCGAGTATGCCTGTCTGAAGAAATTCAAATCACTGCAGGTTTTTCAGTTACAAAAAATGACTCATAAAGGCAGTGGTAGCCTTGACTGCCTACTGGCAAGGGGTTCAACCCAGTCGGAGAAAAAACACCAGAATGGTTTGATGTAACAAATGGGCATGGTAGTAATGGTCAACTTTTACCTCTGAACTTTGCAATCACCCATAATGCACTGCATTATGAAAAACCACATCATTTCTCAAGGCATTTTCCATCTCCATCTTCGGCTCACAAATCATTTTAAAGCCTACAACGTGTCAAACAGAGTCCAAGTTTTATGGGATTTGATGTTCCTGTGAAAGGCACAAGTAATGAGCTGAAGCCCTCCCAATCACTGGCCTGTAAATCTAAAGCCTGAAACCAAAATCAGAGAAAAGCTGAGGTTTGGGAAAAAGCCCCTCATACTGTAGACAGACAGGCAGACGAAGCGGAAATCACAGAGTCTGATTGGGAACTACTTGTATATCATTTTAACAATATTTGGTATTCAATTCTTTTTACTCATACAAATATCCTACTTTCACAATATGAAGGCCTCGTCATTCACCGACTTCACTCCTTTACTTCCTCCTCCCTGCTATTCTGTTCCGAGTCTCCGTCCCCCACAGGGTGGATGGACGGCTCACTGGTCTGGAACAGTGAGTTGCCTACTTCATCTGAATACCTCTTCTCAGATTTCAAAACCCCAATGACCCTCTCCCAGGCGTCCAGACACTGTGGAGAAAAAGCAGACAGGTGAGGCAGAGTGAGTAGGTCTCACACAAGCATGTGGGCAAAGACAAAATTAGTTCAGAACTCATTGCAAACCCAGCTCTCCCAGGAACTCTGCCCATGAGGGAATGCATTCAATCTTGGCAAAGATTGAAGTCCAACAATCTACATCTTGCATTCACACCAAGCACAAACAACCCTGTACAAGTTTGCACAGTTTATTATGATTACAAAGACTGCTCTATTATCAATGATCAGAACATGTGAAAAACCTACTCTTTTTAGCACCAGCTGCACTTTTTCCAAAATTATGAACAACTCCTGACTTTAGCATTCTGCGACATTTTCACCATTTTTCTTCTCAACACAAATTGACAAGAAAGGACACAAAAGTAGTCCGAGTACAATAAAGCTCTACAACTCTGTGAACGTGACATACAGATGTAAAAATTAACCAATGACCACCGCTATGCCTGACTGCCAAGACTTTGAGCAAGTTGTGCTTTGTATGTTTTTTGCAACCTAGCAATGAAGTTCCACTGAACCAGGTCTGGGCTAATTTTGCAAAACTGCTATGCTGGAAAAAAATGCTAAGCAAATTCACGTTCCAAGCAAAAATCAGCAAGGGTACTGGTCTGTTACAATAACAATATACATAACATGTTGGCCGCTAACCTGACTGTAGTTGGCAAAAAGTTCCTTAGTTGCCTAGCACAATTCCATGCTTGAGAGCTATTTGCCCGGTTCCCTTTTTTACCTGCTTGTAGCTCTCCATTTGTCCCTCTGCCAGCCCAACAAACATCGCTTTGATGTCTTTCCTCTTGTTACGATGCCATCGCTCCATGTCTGCCTTCATGTCGGCATTGGCCACCTCGGTCCTATCGCTAAGGAAGTCCACCTGCTTCTGCAGCTGTAAAGGGATTTTTCAAAAATGCCACGGCAGAGAGAATAGACTGCATTCTTGTCATAGGTTAAAAGAAATATTAATGTCAGACTTGGTTAACTGACCTTTATACTGAAAAAATCCCAATTTTTGTGACAATTTTTGTCTCAGCACTGTGCTACATTGTAAACAGTAAATGTTGAAAATTAATGCATGTTTAAGAGAATATCAAAATATTGCATTTGGCTTTTTGAGTATGCTATACCCATAACAAAGGCACAAAATTCTAACAATTTGATAACAAATATGGTGGGATTTCAATCTAAACACTAACCCCAAACACTTGTGCCTTCGTTTCAATTATCAGCTTTATCTGATTAATTAAATTCAATCAAGATACACTGCAACAGCTGCTCTGAAAGTTGACATTTTGTTAATTAAAGCTGTCAGTTCGGTTTGAGGATAGAACAGACTTTGACCAAATGTTACAGTTGTTGATCTGTTTATAATGACACACAGGGATCATCTGCAAAAACTTCTGCTTCTTGTTGGAAAGCAAACAACATCGGTTTGGCTTCTGAGGTCCACTACATCGCTACATCAAACTGCATTAGGTATGGTTTCGTGCAATCTACAAATGTGAGTACTGCATGCAGGGGTGATAGCCAGCACTATGGTTGGGGGAGGGGGGAAGGGATTTAAGGTGGGAGGGCCAAAAACACAACAAAGCTTTGATAGGCACTTCAAAAAGCAGGATTTTAAACCTAGAGCCAAAAACAATTGCAGCCACAAAAATGCTTAAAAGGAATAACAACCACTCCACAACAGCCGAAAATTTCTATTGAATCTACGGTATTATTTGTGAGTTTATTTCAATGAACAGCTTTGATGAATTACAGTGCAATACTGAGTACTAGTTTAGAAACAACCTGTCTGATCACACAAAGGGGAATTTCAGAAACTACAACAGACTTTGGAATTACACATGGGATTTTAACACTGGGATAGTTGGCCAATTTCCACTAGCTCTTCTGTGAAAAAAATCCCACAGTTTTGGAGACAAACTAAACCAAACCCTCCTGGATCAGGTATCAGGGATACAGTAACAATTAGCAACTCTGCCTCGGCTATCAATTTAAAAAAAGCACTATAAATTATGGGCTGAACAGAAAATTTTCCAAACTAACAAAATACACACGGTCATGCCAAGTTCAAGACAAATGCCACAGCATTCCAAGCACCGAGCGGTTTTTCAAGGGACCCGAGGTGTAAGGCCCAGGATTAGTACCAGTACTTTTTTTGGAATTTGCCAGCTGCTCAAAACAGCAAAATAATTCAGCACATTGTTTTCAACACCTTCAAGACCGGGGCACAGTCTAACCTTTGACCCCATGGACCTTTGACTTTGTGACTAATTGGACATTCCATGAGAACTAAAGTAGGTTCTTTTTTGGTTTATGTACAGCCAAGGGGACGTGCGGTAAGCAAATCAAGCAAGTGCTTGTTATAAACATTTAAAAAATGGAAAAAAAGACCACATGCCCTCTTTTCATGTCTAAGAATGTAGGCAACAGCATATTTCCCATTTAGTATCCATTCTTTATTCCCAAAAGTGAAGGGATGTCAACAGACTGTTTCTTACACATTTGCACACGTTAACGTGCTCTCACCAGAAAGCTGTGTATTTAAGAATCTCAGAAATGAAAACTATAGCCCATGCAAAATACATGGGTTACAAATAGTCTCTTAATGATTTGCAATCTACCAATCCTGGACCCCGGTCACGCTAACAAAATTAAATTAAAAAAAAGATTGGCCAAAAAAAAAAAAAAAGGTGGGTACCTTGTCAATTTGGCTTTCTAGCTTGGTACTCTTGGCGTCTTTCACATCTTTGGGGTCTTTGCCCATTATAGCCCCCAGGGAGTAGTTCTGGTCCGAAATTTTCACCTAGGCAGAGAACAACGCCAGGTGGAGCACTATTACAACCACGACAGCGGGAGGAGGGGGTGAGGTGAGAGTGAGATGGGGGTGCGTGTACGTAAGCTTTGACTAGTCCTGTGTGCGTGTTTGCAAAGGGTGCTGTAGACCTTGATTTGTGCTTGCCAAAGTTGTACCTCGTCAGCCAACAGCTCGCGATGTGCCTGACTGATTCCCAACTAGATATGCATGTCATGCATAAATGTAATGGACAGCTAAAATAAAGCACACTACAAAACACCTGCTCGTTTGGAAAAAAAAATTCTCGGTGCGAGATCACGTTTGACAATTCATTTACATGAACGGGACAGGACTGAGGCCTCACTGGTAGGGAAATGAGAGATGAGCAACTCTACATGCGAGAGGCACATGTATGCAACAGTACATGCATGGCACACAAAGAAGTGGGCTTATATTTCACAGCAATCTTGTCAATGTCAGTACTGAGGTCTGATTGTTCTGGTGACTTTTAATAACCAAAGACTACTGCACTAAACAGTGTCTTCTTCAAACTCTCTGTTTCCGTGTACTGTACATGTAACTTGACAGCAATCATCAAATCCCATATACCGTACTTTACCTCTACACAAAACTCGATATAATGGTGTTGGATCTAAAGGTATGTACTAAACCCAGGGATAGAACTCACACAAGGCTGTAGAGGTTGGTCAAGACAGGGAGACTTTCTACCAAGCAGTATACATGTACATGTAGGTGAATACTTGTTTACGTAAGTCTAGCACAAAGTATACACAGACAATCGAGCATATCTGAAGCGGCACCTACGGGATCTGATTATTGTATGTTCTCAATACTTGAGTATGGAGCATACAGCAGTGTTCCCATTGAAGTGCAAGTAACTCATCAGCAACCCAGGTAAATTTAGGTCAACTTTGACATTTTAACTACATGTAGGTGCTACCATGTGACAAGTGTGGTGAGCCCATTGGCTGTGATTGCCATCTGAACTGACTTCAAACTGAGGAAAGGGAAAACACGTAGCAAACGCAAACACAGGTGGCAAGCCAACAGGAATTTGTTGAGCAACCGCAGAGAGCAGAGAGAGGTTTGGTGCAAAAAAAAGGCAAAAAAAAAAAAACCTGGTAGCCAGCCAAAATGTCATAGGGTGTACAATGCCTGAGATTAGTTTGCACCTGAGTTTGGCTTGGCTCACATTTTGGCTAAGCAATTTTGATCTGCAGCCAATTTTAAGCCACAGAATTAGCACTCCCCCAGGGACAACCTGAAATAATCACACTTGTCAAAACACTTCAAAATAACATCCGCATGAAGGACTGTCCAAACACAAGCAAACTTTTGAAAATCCATGTGGACAAAACTTAAGAAAAAAACAGGATTAATAAAAACCGACTCCCTGACAGAAACTATGGCACGTTACATGTAGCTTACTGCTCACTGCATATTCAGCTCAAGAGAGTCAAAGCAGAATCACGGCTGTTACTTAACATTTTTGCTGGCCAAGCGATAGACAAAATTGACGTGGTAAGCAGACAAAAACAGTGCAAAGCAGACAGGTGACAAAAATAATGACAGAGATAACGCTATAGACACAATGAAAAAAAGTTATAGCTCTCCTAGCATAAAACCCACTTGCCCAAAGTAATCTAGTGATAGCAGCAGTTAACTAATCTTTCTTATGTTTTTGGAAATTGCAAATGGTACTTAGAGCTTTACAGCGTCAAGTCAATTAACAAGGTCTGACCCAAGAAGTTAGTTTTTTGTTTTCATTTAAATTTTCATACAGGTTTTGGGGGTAAACTCAGGGGTGTGGATACATACCTGTTCCCTCTCGTTCTTTCTACGTGTGAGTTCCTCGCACGCCAATTCATACTCCATCTGAATAAAGTCTCGTTTTCTGAGCGTGCCCTAAAGACCAGAGTAACAACAGTGGAAATGGTGGCAGAGTAATTCATATCTAGACTGTGATGCTCTTGAAAAACATGCAACTGACACTTAACATGATTCTTTTGAGGCAAAGTTGGCTGTTCGAGTTCACTTTACGAGTGGAAAGGGCATACCGGGAGGTTGAAATCCAAGCTGCATATTCCCTTATATTAACTACAAAAAAGAATTGACTTTTCCTTTTTTCAAATGTCATAAGTTTCATGCTTTCAAATTTTAGGAAGTCTTTCCTCAGTTTCCTTTTTCCATATATGCATGATTCTTCATCCTCAGATGCTGAGTACATGTGTGAGTACCATCGGGACAATAAGAGCAAGGATGGCTAAGGCTATGAGC